AAAATCCAATGAAAATCTTTTTATATTACACATATTATCTGCATTTTTCCCGTTAGACTGCAAAACTTGTGCATTTCACTCGTTATTATAAAAAAGTTTTCCTAAGTATGATATAGCATTTGCGATCAACAAGATGTTGGTTCTGAATTCGACCCTGGCCAATTCTTGGGATTTTCCATATCACGTGCGTAGGGCATGTCAATGTTTACATCCACTCTATCTTGGATTTGAATTTGCTTTAGTGAAGATGACTCAGAGTCATTGCCAAAGTGGCCGGAGGTTGTTCCTGGATTTGTAAAAAGCTATCAAAAGGTGAAGGCGATGATATCTCACCTTACGAATACGCCATCTATGGGATTGACAGATAACTTAATTGATGTATATCAAAAACAAACAAGGCTCCTCAAAGCAATTCCTTACAAATCCAAAATTTGATCGCCTCTGTCTTTTGATGCAACTCCAACTAGGAGATCCCTTGGCGAGTTTCCTTGTTCTTTAATATTCTTCAATTGAGTTTCTATCGTTCCCATGAATAGGGTTTTTGTAAGGGCAGAGTCATTGTTTTTACTTTCCCAAGCTTGTCCTTTGAGGATAGTGCTGCCTAGTTTAAGGCTTTGGTTTGAAGAATTGATGTTCAGTTTGTAGGATTTGTCGATCATAACAAGTCAAGTCAACCACACTTATTTGTTGAGTCATGGGTTCATTTGAACTACTGTTAGATCTGGTATCTATGTCAAGGTTTTCAATCTAAAGGAGAAGATAGAAATTTTAGTGGGTTTGATAAAAACACACACCTTGATTCATCAATAAAATATGTGATGAAACAAATATTGTAAAAAAGGGATATAAAACAGTTGACGTTTTCATTTGATCAGAGCTCTTGTTTGGAAGATTACATGCACTTCATGAAACAATCTACTTCAGTTGCAGTCACTCTCTTTCAATGTCGTTAGTCAGGTTTTTACAAGGATGTGAATGACAGGCCAATTCTTGTGTTAGCTTGTTATTTGGTTGTGAATTACCAAAGATTCTTAATTTGTATAATTAATTTCAAAACAAGGGATAACTTTAAACATAGACAGTTCGGTTCTGTACTTCATCCCTTCAATTCAAATATAGTAACATTTTGTACAAAATGCGATGGAAAGTTTCACATCTTGTATGTTACTTCAGGTTTTCTGGTGGCCCCGTATCTCAGAACGACACGATTGAACTACGCGGTTTCGAAGACACCGACAAACCAGGCAAGAAGAAGCTATCACCGTCTCGCGTCAAACGTGCCAAAGACTGGTCGAAGAAGAAGATTGAAATCCAACCGGTCACCGTTAATGACGATAAGGTATGCTTTGTTTTTCACTCAACTGTACATTGAACTAGATGAAGATATAAGTTTTTATTAATGGACATTTTTCAAATAAACCTGAAAATACCCAATATTTCCAACACAGTTGAAGAATCCAAAAAATGTACGAAGGTACAGAGTGTTGCAATTGAAATAAGAAATATTGCTATCATTTCTTTTTCTGCTCATCAAAACGCATATTTTTGTTGTAGAAATGTTTCAGATAATCATAAAAGGTTTTCTTATTCGTTCGAAGTTCATTGTAGAAAACTCTACGTTACATAGGGAGACTTGAAAGATGCTATTGTGTTTATATTTAACTCACTCAACCAATTTCTAGGGGCGTAATTTAAATGGGAATAATTCACCCAATTATAATCAAATATTACCGAAACATCCCGAAATATAAAATAAAGTTTAATTTCTCAGTATGAAGTGAACGTGTACGATCCAAACACTACAACAAGAAATACAGGTCCGTATTTAAAAATTCAAAGATAGGGATGGCTCAAGTCAGATGACACCCTATATAAAAGATTCATGGACATATTCTGATAGCCCACATCAAGTGCCACTAGCAAAATGTTGACAGATTTTTCAATATGTCTGCGAATTAAAAAGATATAGGCAAAAAAATCATTTGGGATTTTTTTGTTTTTCCTGTATATCTCCAGAACCAAAATAGCTATATTCGATTTTCTCACATAATTGAGTAGGCCTGTAAAATACGCAACTTTGCCACAATTTGACCGACACTCTATCTCGTATCGTTTACGATGTACAGAAACGAATTTGAATAGCCCTGTATATCACTCATCTAGTGAATATATTAATGATGCAATCAAAGAAGTCGATATTTTCATGATTCGTTAATCTGAACGTCCGTGGTAAGTATTAGTTTTATATGATTTTGTTTTGGAGAATGGGATTGAATATGTATTTCTGTCTTGTTGATCGTAAAGGTATACAGGTGTTTTAAATTCGATCCTCGCTATTGGGATCTCGGAAAGTATAAGAAATACGAAGATGGTTAAATTGGGGCAAAGTTGCGCATTTACCTGACTAGCAATACGCTGTTGAGAAATTTCTGAAATTCCGAGTATATTCAGAAATATCCGGAAAAAACAGACATTTCGGAAAATGATTTTTATTTTTTTCTGGTTTTATTTTTCGAAGGATTCGGAAATAAATTGCACTTCCACATTGCCACTTTTTCCCTGCTACATTATGGTGTTTTCAGATTTGCTATCCATTACCGGAAATGACTTGCCCTTGAGTTGTGATGGTTGTGAACGCAAAATGCATGCAGAATGTTCGAATCTAAGTGCATCTGAATTAAAGGTCATGGCTTTAAAAGGAAAATGGCTGTTGAAGTTTTATTGTGATGATTGTCTCACAGGGATAATATTAGTACCCAATTTAATCAAGAAAATTGATAGGTTTCTTTCTGAGGTTGAAGAACTGAAATCAAAAATTTGAAAAGAAACATGTCCATCTTTTTCGGAAGAAACAGTCATAAATGAAATATACGAGAGACAAAAAAGAATGAACAATGTTAATATATTCAATCTAGCAAAAGGTAATTGTTACAACTCAGACTTGAATACTAGTAAGGAAATATTTAAAGAAGTAACTCATGAGGATTTACATATTAAACAGATATTCAGAGCTGGACAGAAGAATAAAAGTGGTAACCGTGCGTTGACAGTTATTTTTACCAGTGTAGAAGTTGCAAACAAGTTAATTAAATCAAAAGAAAAAAGAGATGCACTCAAGGAAAAAACATTTCATTAATGCTGATCTAACTCCACTACAAGTAAAAAACTGGCAAAATATGAAGAAAGAAGTCGATGTTAGAAAGCAGAGGGGAGAAAATGTTACAATAAGATATGTGAATGGAGTACCTCAAATCACTGAGGTGGCTGCAAAAAAGTAAAACCCGATCAGTTTCCTGTGTATTTTCAAAATGTCGGCGGCATGAGAACAAAAATATTTGAATTTCAACAAAGTGTTATGTGTTCAAACTATGATATTATAATTTTAGTAGAAACATGGCTTAATAGAGACTTTTCCGATAGTGAACTGGGTTTAAAAGGTTTTAACATATATAGATTAGATAGAGACCAAACAAATAGCGATAAAAAAGAGGAGGAGGAATACTAATAGCCATTAGAGAATCTCTAATAACTGAGTTAATCGACATATCTCCTGACAATATAGAACATTTGTTTGTTAAATTATCAATAGGTGCTTCAACAATCATTATCGGTGGTGTATATATTCCTCCTCCTTCTGTAGTGAATACTTATACAATGTTAGGTTTCATTCTTCGATCTGCAAATGAATTATCTCTCACTTCAATAAAAATCATATTGTTCAATTGTTAGATCAATAATCGAATACAATTACACAATTTGGTGCCCTTCATATCATGTGGATATTGATATGCTTGAAAGTGTTAAAAAAAATGTCTATTGTTATATTTTATCTATTAGATATGTTGTTGCTCAAATTGTGATTCTGATTATTTGTGTTTTTGAATTGTTTCTTATTCTTTTATTCTTTGAAGTGCTATATATATATACCAGATTTTTTAACAAGCTTTGTCAATAAGATTGTACTTTCTTGGACAATAAAGTATATGCCTATCTATCTAATATAATTCAAACTCTGTAATTACAGTAAACTCTAAATTAGAAATTAAGATTATTATTTCTACTTTTCAGTTGGCACAGGCTCAAGTCGGTGGTCACACAGCCACTTCTAACGGTCCTATAAACAAAGCTCAGCCTATGAGCCTCTTGGAGGTACGAAAATCCCTTCCCTCTGGCTTACCCTCCAAATCATCCAAACCGTTTCTTTTCAGATGTTGAATCACTCCCAGCAGCAAGACGAAGTTGCTAGATTGGGCGGTCCAAACGCGCACCTTCTTGGTCCCACCAGCCCCAATATTGGCCACCACCTTCACGGCCCCAACGATCTGACCATGAAACAACAGCAAGTGCAATATCAGCAACAGCAGCAGCATAAACAGCAGATGGATATGTTGAATAAGCTGATCAACTCTTCTACTTCTGTGCAGATGAGGGGTTCTCCTCTGCATGATTTGGGCGTGCAGCAGAGCAGGGAATTGCTGAACAGACCAGAAGCCCAGGCCATTTTGCACGGTGAGTTTCGTAGAGTTTGTGTAAGGTCTTTGTCGGTGAAGATTGGGATTATTTTGCGCCAGTTCTAGTTGAAAGGATGAGGGGTTTTTCATGTCCCGAGATTGGTGTCAGGTGTGTCTTTTCATAAGGGATAGAGTTACAATCGTGTGAACGTTGTTTTGACAGAAACTTAAAATCCAAATGATAAGAAATGGAAATATTCTTAACTGCGAACAAGAATATAACAAACAATTTCAAAATCACTCATGAAATGAGCATAAGAAAGACTTCATACAGTGTTCAACTCGTGTGCTTATTATGAAACATCATCAAGTAACTTCAAAGAGAAACATTTCAAAGAAATTTCAGTGTACATTTGAAAAAAAAATCATTTTTGAAAGTCGGTCTAGATGCTACGAGAGAAAATGCTTTCAAAATTTTTCAGATTAGTTCAAAAGCATATTTCATTATAATTATATGTCACTCTTTATTAGTAAATAATGATCTCCATGGTACAGTCAGTAACTTATGAAATGCAAAACGAAAAATATAAAAATAGAGACAAGTCAGGAAGCATCTTGTAAGACTATTATCTTTGTGGTATCTTGCATAAGTGATTGTCGGATATAATTCAATGTCCATCGTGGTGTTAGCCAGGGAAGTAGTTGTTTTTCGGCAGGCATTCACCGGAACCCACAGTGTAGGTGAGTTGGTAGATATGCGGGGCCGGTAGACCTTTGATCCTAATACTTCCGATTGAATTAACGTACTATTTTTTACATGTTTTCAAAATTATAATTGAGAAACGCAACTTGAAGAAATTTTTCTGATGTACACTGTATAATCTTTCGACAGAAAAAATATAAGCTTTGTAAAAATTGGTGTAAACATAAATATGAAAATTACGAGTCATGTTTCAGAAGTAAGTAACATTTTTAAATAACGTCTGGGAACAATTGAAGCACCCTCCATACAGTTCCGATTTAGCGCCGAGTGATTACCATTTGTTTGTGCATTTGAAAACTCGTCTGGGTGGGCAACTCCACAACGATGACGAAGAAGTTAACTATATGAGAGAGCAGCAGAGAATTTTTAGGCATTTGATATCGGTGGAGTCTGAGGTGCATCTTGTTAACAAGCCAAGCATTTTGAGAGACTCATACCTGAAGTAAACCCAAGTCTTTCAATTCCGTAACTTTATTGGGCGGAGCTTGATTTATAGAATAAGATAATTCTAAAGGAATATGTTTGCGACTCAAAATTATGGAATGACATTTACGTGTATCAAATAGTATAACATTGACAAAACACCAAGTAGAAAGCTGGTTCAGTCTTCTCTGGAGTTCAACACAGTCGTCTTGTGAATCGATTTTCTTGTAAACTTTCATATCATTTGCGGAGCACAAGGAGTCTGCATTAGAAAAGCATTGAAAACCATTGAACAGCAATAGTCCCAAATGGAATCCTTGGGGTATACCGGAGAGTACTAAACTTCCAGAAGATTTAAATCCGTTAACTCGGGTTATCTGTATCCCATTAGAAAGATAAATTTGTATCCAAGATTGGAGATTCCCACAAATTCCCATTTGTTCAGTTTTTTCTGTTAATCCAGTGTGGTTGACTTTATGAAAAGCCTTGGAAAAATATGTGGAAATAAAATGAACTTGGCCGTCTACGTCCAAGATGTTTGAGAGATAATCTACATAGAAAAGAAGATTCAGTAATGGGTTTGAGAAGAGTTTTTGTATGTGATTGGTAATATGACAGTTACTTTTATGGTAATTGTATATGGTTATAATCATAATCTTATTAGTTTTCATCAATATAGAAAAAATGGTGACACAGCTTGTACATTTTGAACAGATTTAAGTGAGATTTTTAATCATCACTATGAAGTGACAAAAATCGAAACTAAAATGTCATTGCTTTCAAAACCAAACAGTACGGTATCAGGTTCTGTAATGCTTGATTTACTATCCTTAAATGATCGAAGGGTAATTTGATTTATTGGACAGAATGAAATAAATTTCAAAATGGTACTTACTTTAAAAACATGACTTGTATTTAGTCAAGGCAGAAATAGAAATTACTTTTTATCTTTGTGTTTTTCTTGTAGTTATTTGAAAGTTACTTTCTTGCAATTATCATTCGGTTTTGATGAAGTGAAGATCATTTTCTTGCTACCAAATTATTAAGTTTTGATGAAAATAACCAATGGTTTTTTAGAGTAGGCATTGGATGTCCCCCAGGCACTGTATATAGCGCAAGCACTTGTCCTTTTTGGATTTTGGCTCGAGTTCGGTAGAGTTGGTGTTTTTCGTAGGGGGTTGGTTTTGGTATATAGGAGGGTGAATGAAAATGCGTCAGTTCATGTTTGAAATAACAATTTTTTTTGTCTTGAATCAGTAATTCATTTGGGATGCCACAAGGAAACTTTTTTGGGCCTCTTTGTTTAATTTTAATGGTTTTTTTAAATTTTCTGTAGGAATACGCATAATAGTATATTATGCAACGATCATGTAATGATGGTTATTAAGACACGAGCATTAACCGGGATACGAAACGAGCCGAAGGCGAGTTTTGTATGGTATATGCGAGTGTATTAATAACCATTACATGAGAGTTGCATACGCTATT